CCTCAAGCTGAGTGAAGATTTTCTTAATATGCCTAAAACATCCTTCAGCAATTTCCATGTCTTCATCATAAGATCTGCCTTTAAAAATGGGCTGAGGAGCATTTGCAAAATATTCATGGAAAGGGAAGAAGGTAGAGATTTCTGTGACATCTGGCAGTGCACTACCTTTATTTTTCACTTTGCTGATATATTCTTCCCAACGAGACATCACCTGCAAAAAAAAAAAAAAAAAAATTGAGATTTACTGCCATCTCATGTTTTAAATGATAAAATTAAAAATAAATATAAGGAAAAAAAGATCTGCAGGTAAATGAAATCTGACACATTACAACCATTTCTCATTCAAGTTATGACAGATTCAACTTTTAAAGATTAATCTTAGGACCTAAGTGGGGGAAAGGAGTTCTTTAAATTTAAAAAAAAACTGGAAAGAACCTCCAGGTCATCTCATATAATTATATCTCAGACATTTGACATTCTCTATGTACATTCAAGACAGTTTATAAATGTAGAGAAGATAAAAGAAAACTCTAGACAAAGAAAATTCTCATTTTTTACATCATTTGCTTCTCTCCAAACATAAACTCAGCTTTTAATCATCTAGCATTGTCAACCCTCCTACACTTTTATATATACTTCTTCAAATTGCTTTACAACATTTATGAAGATATTCTGGCTAAGTATGTACCTATTTGAGAGGCTGCCTTATAACTTCAGCATATAGTTTAATTATGAGTTTGACAATGTTAGCTGTACCTGTACCAACCAGTTTCTGATTAACATCAATTTTTTAAATTTACCCAATTTTTTTCTGTTATAATTTCAGTGTTTTCCAAAGTATAGTCCTTAGACAGGCAGAATATGTGAGGAGCTAAATAACAATGTAAATCTTGCTCACACTCATTTTGAATGCAGCTCTGAGGATGGGCTTGGGAATCTGACCTAGTGAAAAGTTTTCCAAGTGATGATTCTTGTATGTTGAAAACTGCTGTTGTATACTGTGAAGCTTCAAGTTCTGTTTTTTTTCAAATTTATTACAAAAATATCCACAATCTATAGATCGTATCTCCTACTTTTCAAAGCAGCTTCTACAGAGAGAGGACTCTTTTCTGTCAAACAGGTATATAAGCAAAATCTCTATGCCATTATGCAAAGTTCTGAACAGCTAAGACTGATGCGAACAACTTTGCAAGGCAATGTGTGTCACCTCACTTCTCAGGAAGTCTTGCAATCTGCTGGTTTTGATACATTCAACTGGTTTATGTATCTGCTTAGTTATAAAGAGCATAGGCTCCCAATGGTATGGGCTATATCTAAAATGCACAAATAACATTAGTATAATGTGAACTGTTTAAAAAATCTTTGATATCTTAACCCATTAAAATTATTAGTCATACAACTATTAAAAGTCTACAATTTTACTCTACTTTTTATTTCTCATTGACCTTCATACCTCAGAAATTAACCTTAACAAAAGCAAAATGTGCACTTTTAAATCAACAGAAATTTTTACATTTTTGTTTTTTAAGATTTTATACAGGGGCTGGTGAGATGGCTCAGTGGTCTAAAGCACCTATTTAGAACAAGCTTAGCAAAGCACAGGG